CCCATCTACTGGAGCTTGTGGATTTTGCTACAAATTTGTATTAAGTAAAAATCTAACATGGGCTCTTAGGCACTCAGATACGTAAAAATATGCCAGAATGGTGTTAGGCTTTTTTGTGTGTGTGTTTGTTGTTTGTTTAACAGATGTATGCATCCCATGAGATCTGCTAAATGTTGTTTGGCGCTATCCAAACACTGCCGCCATCTTCATGCGACCATCTGTGTCCACTTGCAAAGGATCCTCACAATGGGTTTATTGACCATTGACACTTCCTCATAGAAGGAGTAGGCAGGGGTGTCATGGGACCCTCAGCTGAGTATCCAGACATTTCTCTCAACCAACCAGTTTTATGTGATTCTGCCACAGTTGCACATGACTTCCAAGTCTCAAGGAGGGCCTAGAATATTATACAAGCTGGGAAAGACTGAAGGATGGGGGCCTCTCTACACAGCCATGGGAAACTTGTCATCCATGGTGAGTGAAGACCTTCCAGTGTGGCTGCTTTAGGCTACCTACACTCCTGCCTGTAAGCCCTGCCTGTAACTGTGTGTAAGTAAACCTAATAAACTCATTGGTTACCCAGGTGAACTTTGGTGGAATCAAACTGTCGTTTGTCAGTGGGACCTGGGGGAAGTGTAGCTGATTCCTAGTCTCCCCCAGGGTGAATATTCTCACAACAATAGGACAATTAACACATACATTTCCTTAACCTCAGTCACCAAATGCCTCAAAGGATGACCAATAATGCCATCTTCCCTGATCACTCTCCACCTTACATATATGGCGCTCATATATTGCTCTCACTTGAACCCAGAGCTCACTGATACAGCTGGTTAGATAGCCTGCTTGCTCTGGGGGTCCCATCTCTGCATTGCAAGTGCTGGAATTACAAGGGGCGATCATACCCACCCAGCGTTTGTGTGAGCCGTGGGGGTCAGAACTGTGGTCCTCAGGCTCACCCGGTAAGAGCCTTATCCACTACACCACCTCCTCAGAAACAGGAACAGTTACGCTCTCAACAGGAACAGTTTCTTCTTCTCTGCAGCCTGTGAGATAGGAATTCACACCATCCTCTGCTCCTGAAAAAGGTGGCCAGGGCCAGGCATGGTAGCACACACCCAGCTCTCAGGAGGCAGAGGCTGGTAGATCTCTGGGTTCAAGGCCAGCCTGGTCTACAGAGCTAGTTCCAGGACAGCCAGGGCTACACAGAGAAACCTGGTCGCCAAAAAAGAAAAAAAAAAAAAAAAAAAAGAAAAAGAAACAATTAGAAAAAGAAGGTGACCAGACCTATTCAAGGTCACTGAGGCCACTTACAGCAGGCACTGTGCACACCCAGGACTGTCTGGTGATGTCCTTGTCACCGAGTGCCACCATACCTGCTCATGCCACCCTCTGCACAAGTGGCTGTCCCAGCCAAGCTCCTTCCTCTTCACCTTCCTGTTTCCTGTTAGTCAAGGGAGACCCTGGGAGAGGGTCGTTTAGACTGAGCTGGAAATGGGCGTCCCTGCTCAGCTCCACATCTGTGCCTGTCTGTGGGCCCCCCATGTCATGGGGTGTCTTCGGTCTCCTCCAAGGCATCATGAGCCCATGCAGCAGATCAGCTATTTGTTTATTAAAACATTAGCTGCATTCATCAGCAATTTTGACAGAGATTGCAAAAAAGTACAACCTCCATGGGGTTGTACCACTTTAGATCCTACCAGCAGGGTGGAGGGAGTTTGTTCACACCCATACCTCCCATCTCTTAAGTGCAGATGATTGCCCACTTTTTCATTTTGCTTCATTTCCATAGTGATGGAGTCAAACCCCTCACCCATGCCGAGCGGACACTCTACCCACCCAGCTTCAGCCCCAGCCTGGCTTCCCAATCATTGCAACCAAATACATAAAATGGGCAGCCCACCTGAGTGTTCATTTGCATTTTCTTATTATGGGTCAAGTTAAGCAGTTTTAGCATTTTTAAAATTTTATCACTTTCTCTGTGTCTGCCTGTGCAGATGTTGAATGTACACGTATGTGTGAACCACGGCACACACATGGAGGTCAGAAGACAACTTGCAGGAGCTCTCTCCTTCCACTCAGGACTAGGGGTTCAAACTCTGGTTGTCAGGCTTGGCGGCAAGTGCCTTCCCCTGCTGAGCCCTCTTGCCAGCCCCGGTTCTCACACCTGTAAGCAGCACTCTTGCTTCTTCTGAGGACGATCTGGCCACCTCCTTCCCCCATTTCCTATGTTCGGAGTCTTTCCCTTGGGCCTTATCACTCTCCATGGCCTAGGGAAATCAGTTCTAGCTATGTTATGGGTGCTGAAAATTGTGCTTTAACAATAAAGTTTTGTTTAAACATGCTGTAGTATATATCTAGTGGTTTTTCGATGGGGACAGGGTTTCTCTGTGTAGCCCTGGCTGTCCTGGAACTTGCTCTGTAGACCACGCTAGCCTCAGACTCAAGAGATCTGCCTGCCTCTGCCTCCTGAGTGTTGGGATTAAAGGCGTGCGCCACCACTGCTTGGCTTGTTACATTCTTTTTTAATTTTTATTGATTCTCTGTGGATCACATCATGCCTCCCGATCCCACTTACCTCCCCATCCCCTCACTTCTGCTCTCTGCCCGTGCAACCTCCCCGTCCCCAAAACAAAACCAAATTTGAAAGAAAAACCAAATCAAACAAACAAAAAAGGAGAAGAATCTGGTCCTGGAGCTGTAGTGCGGCCTGTTGAGTCACACAGTTTACCCTTTAGTCCATTCATCTTTACTTGCATGTGTTCATTGCTATGACTTATTGGTCTGGTTTGAGGTCTCTGGTTTCTGCTACACTGTAGATGCTGGGCTCTCACTGGGGCTCCTCTTGGATGTCCTGTTGTTGCCCTGTGTCGTAGAGATCCTGCAGTTTCGGATCTGTAGGTTCGGCCTCTTTATATGTTCCCTTTATGTGACGCGGTGGGTGTCGGGGTGGGCTCTCTTTGACCTGGTGCTGGGCCTTTGCAGCTGGGTTGGTCAGCCTGCCAGCTTCCCCTCATCATCACTCCCCAGCCTTGGCTAGCTTGCCCAGTGCAGCCTGCAGCAAGGGGCGAGGCCAGTTCTCCTGTTCTTAGATCCTCAGATCCGTCTCATTCACACACACCACCAGGGCCAATTCTGCCTGTTTTGCCCAGGCAAGGTGCAGGACCATCTCTCCCGATTGCTGTAGGGGGGAATATGATGTGAAGAGGGGGCAGGGGTGTCAACGCTCCTCCTCTCATGCCCCCAGGGTTGGCTCACCTGACAACAGGGTCAGCTCTAGTGTGCTGTCCAGGGTGGGTGCAGGGTCCGCTCTCCTGTGTGCTGCAGCTGATGAGGGGCAGGCAGGGCTAGTTCTCTCACTCCTGACCCCAGGGCCAGCTCTCTCACTTGCTGCAAGTGGCAATGGGTGAGTGGGGGAGGGCATCGTTCTCACACAAGCCACCACATGGCAGATGAAGGAGGTGGGATTGGTTCTCCTGCTCTCCTGACCTCAGGACTGGCTCCAGCATGCTGTCCAGATGAGTTGCACACCTGTGGTGAGGGGTGGAGCCATCTTTCCCAAGTGTAGTGTGCGTGGTGGGGACAGCTCTCCCCGAGAGACTGGCCCAGCTCTCCTGCTGTAATATCCAGCCAGAGGCAGGGCCATCTATATCAGGGCCGGTGAAGGGCAAGGCTGACAGAGAACAGCCTCAGGTTTCCCCATGTGTGGTTCCTATAACCCCTGGTTTTTTGTTTTTGTTTTTGTTTTTTTAATAGATTTATTTATTATGTATACAGCATGTATGCCTGCAGGCCAGAAGAGGGCACCAGATCTCATTACAGATGGTTGTGAGTCACCATGTGGTTGCTGAGAATTGAACTCAGGACCTCTGGAAGAACAGTCAGTGCTCTTAACCTCTGAGCCATCTCTCCAGCCCCTTATAACCCCTGTTTTAACACCAGCCATGGACATAATCACAGACCCCAGCTGCAGCAGGACCACAGACCCAGACATGGCCCTGGGCAGCAGCTTGGGCCTGGATGATGTCACCATGGCCCCAGTGGCAGCACAGGCCACTCAGATCAGTATGGCCCTGGTGACAGCATGTATCAGCCATCTCCAATGTGGCTTGCAGGATTGTGTGTGTCTCATTTGGAGACAGTGCTCCATTTTTATTTCATTTTAAACCACTGAAAGCTTCATGCGTCTGAGTTTTAGTGTGTACAGTCTGAGGTCGGCACTCAATTGTGCCCTTCTCCCAGGAGACACAGTTATTTCCCCCCAATAATGTGCAAGGTTTCTGTAACCGTGGACCCGAGGCAAGAGAAGTCAATGACTGGAGGACAAGCCAGTATAAGAAAGTGATGTCATTGCAAAGCTAGAAAACCAAAGAGACAGGCTAGCACTAGCAGAGACCATCTTGCCTCAGGGTTCCTGGTTCAAAGTCTACATATGAGAGTGGGGGGAGGTTGTGGGGGGAGGGTTGGAAGGGGAGGCTGTGGGGGGGGGGCACGGGCGGGGAGTGGCTGCTTTTCTGACACACTGATTGCTGCCTCTGTAAGTCTTGGATGTTCCGTGTTCTATGAATGGAAGAAATCGTTACTGGTGAGAAAAGTCTTATGACATATATCTTCTTAGTTCCTCTTCTGCCAGAAACAGTTGATTCTGCAGTTATTAAGATTCAAAAGGCGGGAGGCTGGAGAGATCGGGAGGCTGGAGAGATGGCTCAGCGTAGTTGCTAGGGAGCCTGCACGGGACTGACCTAGGCCTTCCACATATATGCTACAGTTGTGTATCTTGGTCTTCATATGGGACTCCTAACAGTGGGAGCAAGCGTTGTCTCTGATCCTGTTGCTTTGGGGACCTATTCCTCCTACTGTGTTGCCTCATCCAGCCTTAATAGAGGTACCTAGTCTCACTGCAACTTGATATGCCAAGGCTGGTTGATAACCATAGGAGGCCCACCCTTTTCTGAAGAGAAACAGAGGCGTGAAAATGATTCTTTTATCATTTATTAATAAACAAATCTTGTGCACAAATATTAAAGGAAAGGAAAACCTGAGAGGGATCCAAGTTATGGCGAGAGCATCCCGCGGCTGGTCGGTTCCTGGCATCCAAAAGCCCAAAAGCGGCCCTGCAACCTTCAGGCCCTCGTCGTCCCTTGGGCCACTCTCTCCTCTCCTGGGTCCTCCAAGGCTTGCTTGCTGATCCATTCCACCCAGCTGAATGGAAACTCCACCTCTTTGCAATTAACCAATAGGCCAGTGACATAAATAAAATTTCTGTAATGGAGGAGTGAGCAGGGAGGGACTGGGAGAAGAGGAGGGAGGAGAAACTGTGGTCAGGATGTAAACACAAACCAAACAAACAAACAGATACAAAAATAAATAACTAAGAAAGTCCTTGCTGCTTTTGTAGAGGACCCGAGTACAATCACCTGTAGCTCTAGCTCTACCTTCTTCTGGCCTCTGGGGTCACTTCAGCACAGCCAGCCGGCTTGTTTAAGGTTTTCCTCATAACATATCCATTACACACTAAATACCCCACACTGCTGGGCCCCTTTCTGGGCCTTCAATTATGCCTTACAGCTGTTTGCTCACAGTTTTAATGACTGTACTGTCACCATTTTGTTTTGTTCCTGTACTGGAGATTGAACCCCCAGAGCCTCTCACACTCTGGGCAGGTGCTTTACCACCGAGCTACATCCCCCACTGTAGATGTATCCAACAGTCTTATTAAATAAGAAACACAGAACCAATGTAAAAGAGAAAGCTGAGAGGTCAGAGCTCAGAACTAAAATCTCACCCTTTCTCCTGCGGTGTCCCAGCTTCCCGAAAGAGAGCTATATCCTGTCTGTCCATCTTTTTATAGTATTTTGTTCTGCCTTCTCATTGGTTGTAAACCCGAACACGTGACTCCCTCGTCACTGTCTGTATGTACAGTCCCCCAGGTCTTAAAGGCATATGTCTCCAAAGCTGGCTGTATCCCTGAACACACAGAGATCTCTGGGATTAAAGGCGTGTGCCACCACAGCCACACTCTTGCTATGGCTCTAATAGCTCTGACCCCCAGGTAACTTTTTTTATTAACATACAATCAAAATCACATTTCAGTACAATTAGAATACCACCACACCCCACCTTCTTTTGGTTTATTATTTTGAGACTGGGTCTTACTAAATTGCCCAGACTGGTCTTGACCTCATTCTGTAGCCCAGGCTGGACTTGAACCGATGATCCTCTTGCCTCAGCCACTCAGATAGCTTGGATCATAGGCTTGCACCACTAGGTCCGGCTAGCTCCATCAGTCTGTTGAATATCCTCTTCCAGCATCTTCCTGACTGCATCATCTTTGGTACCCAGCTGGGGAATAAGGAAAATATTCCCCTATGGCCTCTAGGAAGAAAACTCTAGAAGCCTCACTTCCAAGAGTAGAATAAAGAAAGATCTTTAGAGTCACAGGACAAGGGTCAAATGTAGGCTTTGCCTCTCACTCACACGTTTGCCTTGGTGAGTCAGCTGACCCCATCAGGTCTCCACTTTATCCGCTGGCTGATGTAATGGACATGGGAATTAGAGCATGAACTGTCCTGACGGTGGATATGGTGTCTGTTACATCCCAGCTCTTGGTGTTTCCCTCAGCACCACAGCACAAAAACAAGCCTCACAATACAAACAAGTGCTTGTTTCGGCACAAAAAGCCCGGAAAGCCTGGGGCGGAAGAAGCACAGGCTGGAGGGAGGCGGGCCTTTGTTCAAGTCCTCCTAACACACCCACCCCAGGCTCAGAGCAGCCTAGGGATTCTCACCGCCATCTGCCAGCTGGACTATCATTCATGAAAGTCCTTCCCTGTGTCTCTCTGGGCTTCAGTTCCACCTTCATCACATGGGAATAACAGTTGTCACTGTATAACAGTCACTGTGACCTTAAATGTGCAAGAACTGTGGAAGGCACCCATCTAGCACATGCTAAAGTGACGGAGTGGTTCGTGATTGTAAGTACAGAAAGTGTTCGACTGCTTTGTACATCTGCCTCTTCAGGTCTGCTCAAGGGGGGCATAAGTTACAACTATTGTGACTACAGAAAAGAAGGACCCACCCTCTAGCACCCACAGATCTTTTAGGGGTCCCCGTGAGACCCAGAGATCCTTCTGTATCCACCTCCTCGGGTCTAAGCTTCACCTTTGGAGCTCACTTGTCCACACCATCCTCCCATCCTAGATTCATTCCCCTCCCTGTTTTAAAGTCTTTTTCAAAACTGATAGTGCGGGGCAGCTACCCACCATCCCCAGAGTTTTCTTGAGTGAGAGCAGCAGGAAATATTAGATAGAAGGATTTAGAGTGTGGAGATAAACAGAGAAAATACAAGATAGCCTTGAGAGGACCTGGAACCTATTCTAATGGGCCCTGACTGTCTCTGCCCTAAGGTATTTATAGAAATGCCAAGGGATGGAGCAAAAGACTTCCCCCTCAGCCCAGCCAAGTACAGACCATCTCAGACACCTGCACTCAGGCCCGTGGTCCAATCATCTTCTCTATGCGGACCTGCTGGGTAAAGTCACTAGGAACCTGAAAATGGGCTCCCACATGATAGTCAAATTTTCTATGCTTAGGAGGCATCATGATGCAAGGAGAGACAGAAGATGGGCAGGATACAGGGGGAGCATAGAAGCCAGCTCTGTATGTTAGACTACAGTGCCTGGTTGCTGAGCAAGTAAACAGCAGGTGTTAATAAATGGACAAGGGGGTAAAAACCACATTCAGCAGGTGGAGCAGATGGTGGGCTCCGGGGAGCGAGCCTAGGTGCAAAGAAGGGCAGCGGTGAGACAGGACAGGAGCCACAGGAGCAGGGGACCAGAAAGAACTAGAAATCAGTGGCATTTAGATACTGCAGTGGAGCCCGGGGCAGGAGTTATGTGTCATGTGTTTGAGCTAGAAGAATAGATTAGACAGCTCTCTTTGTTCCTATTCCATAACCAGTGTCTGCCCCTGACTTAAATGTCATCTCCTCTGATAGGCCTTTCCTGGCTCTATCCACGATGGCAAACTCTTCCAAAACAGCAGCTCCTAGTGTGAACAGGCCAGCCTGAGGTGCTGCAAGACTGAAGGAAGATGCAGGCAAGTGAAGAACTGGAGAGCAGTTTATTGGCAGACTTATTTAAAAAAAAAAAATGTACTAGTCTTGGGAGACAGCAAAACCAACTGGATCCCACCATATGGGTCAGAAAGAGAGTCATGTATATGGGTGAGGATGACGTGACTTCACCCTGGCTGGGATGTACGTGGTTCATCTTAAGTTCTTATCCAAGTACCAGGCACAGGTTGGAGCCTGGATCTGGTTGTAAGGTCTCATGCATCATTCATTCTCGGGATTTGGTCTACCTATAGTTGTGAGGTGAAACTATACACTGAAATGGACTGTGGTTTCTCTAGGACAGTCGTGACGGTCTGGATTCAAGATGACGGTGGTCATATCAAGCTGAATCCATACAGAGCCTACTCCAGCATTCTGATTCCTTTTTGTAGTTAGTTTAACATGTCTCTTCCTCAGACCGTAAACTGAATGAGAACAAGGGCAGGACCATTTTAAATGCAAGCCTAGTGTGGGACCTAGACCACACCAGGCAGATGAGAACCAGTCTGTTAAATGAATGAACGAATAAAAATGAATGAATGAGGCCCAGCAAGGAGGCTGGTAGGGAAGATTCCCAGGATCTCCATTTGCAGTTTGGCCAGCTTTCCTGGGTGCAGTAGGAGGCATGGGCTGGGTCTCTGAGTGGGACCCTTGACAAGAGCAGGAGAGGGCCTAGGCAGGGTCAAACAAAATGTCTTGCCAGAGAATTACACTTCGTGTACACACGAGTGGGGGTGCATGAATGCACACATGTGTTGTGGAAGCCAGAGGACGCCTCGGGTGTTGGGCGCTGGCTGCCTGGTTTGGCTTTGGAGATAGGGTCTCTGGCAGGCCTGGATTCACCATGTAAGCTGGACTGGCAGGTTAGCCAGCCAGCCCCAGAGATGCTCCTGTATCCACCTCCCCAAAGCTGGGGTTACAAACGTTTTCCCATGGATTCTAGACATGAACTCAAGTCCTCCAATGCTTTACCAACTGAGCTATCCCCAACCCTAGGAATCCTCGTTCAGCATGCAAACGCAAATTCCTCAGCTCCTTGCCCACGCTGGATCCGAACGATAGCCTAGGAACCTGCGTGCACAGCGCGGTCCCTGGAGGAGCTGAAATGGCAGCACTCAGCTCAGGAGAAGCGCGTGCGTAGTCGGTAGGGAAAGAAGCAAGGGGCTGAGAGGGTGACTCTCAGGACAAGTGTCAGGATGCAGGCCAAGGGGGGCGAGTCAGGTGCCCGGAGAGTACTCCCCCCGGGACCTTTAGCTGCACTTGGCCTCCAGCCTGAGCGAACTCCTTCGCCCCTCCCCACAGCTCCGCCTCCCGATTGGCCGATGCCCCGTCCGTCGTCCCGCCTTGACCAATAGGACCGGCGAGGCACCGGAAGCCGGAACAGGAAGTGAGGCCGGGGTCCCGCGGCGTCTCCCGTTAGCAGCTGTTGTAAGGCTATCATGAGAGGCCTCGGGCCAACCCTGAGGGCTCGGCGCCTGCTGCCACCCCGGTACCCGCCGCGGCCGCCGGGGCCTCGGGTGCCTCGGCTGTGCAGCGGGCTCACGGCCGGCGCCATGGACGAGCTGCTGCGGCGAGCCGTGCCACCCACGCCGGCCTACGAGCTGCGCGAGAAGACGCCGGCGCCCGCCGAGGGCCAGTGCGCCGACTTCGTGAGCTTCTACGGCTCCTTGGCCGAGACGGCCCAGCGCGCCGAGCTGCTCGGCCGCCTAGCGCAGGGCTTCGGCGTGGACCACGGCCAGGTGGCCGAGCAGAGCGCCGGGGTGCTGCAGCTGCGCCAGCAGTCGCGCGAGGCGGCCGTGCTGCTGCAGGCCGAGGACCGGCTACGCTATGCGCTCGTGCCGCGCTACCGCGGCCTCTTCCACCACATCAGCAAGCTGGACGGCGGCGTGCGCTTCCTGGTGCAGCTGCGGGCCGATCTGCTGGAGGCGCAGGCCCTCAAGCTGGTGGAGGGGCCGCACGTCCGGGTAAGGCCCCACCCGGGCCCCCCGCCACCACCCCGGGGCCCTGCCCCTTCCCTCCCCCGCTACCCCCCAGGTCCATAGCCAAGCCCCTGCAGCTCCACCTTGCCGCAGGTACACAGTGCTTACTGCGTAGTGCGTAGCACTGTCCTTGGGGTGACTGTCAGGTGCGGTACCCATTAAAACCAAAATAGCTCTGGTTTTAACTGCTCTGTACCTGAGCAAGAATGGAGCACGGCAAAGTTTGAGCGCCTACCGCGAGCACGACATGGCCCTAACAGGTTACATGAAATGCACAAAGATGGCCAGAAGTGAAGGTCACCACCTTATGAGTCTCCGAAGCCTCCAGCCTTCTTTCTGCAGTGCGACTCTGGATAGGAGATTTGACTCGGAGCTCAGCTCTAGACGCAGTGATTTGGTACTTGAACCAGTCAGCTGCTTACCCAGCGAGATCACCTAGCTTACAAATAACGGAGGTTTGCATAGCTGCGACCCAACAGGTTGTCTAGGGTTGCTCCCAGCCCTTTATACCACTAATATTCAATAGAGCTCAGCACTGGCCTGACCCTGAGTTCATGCACAGCGATACCAACATATCAGAAGTTCTCGGCATTCAGAGCTTCATCTGCTTTTTCAAAGTCAAACAGTGGAGTGATTGTGTCCTGACTCACTTGAGAACTCTAAGACAAACAGGACAAGTTTTTACTTCCAGTCCTTTGTTTTGGGTGACATGTATCTCCTTTCCAGTGAAGGGCATCCATGCCAGGTGTTGAGTTGCCCCAGACCTCAGAGCAAAGACATCCATTTCTGATACATTCCCCCCAAGATAGGCTCCTTTGCACTGCCCAGCACCATGCTCTGTGAGGGTTAACCCTGGAATTTCTTCTCAGTTTGGTTGCTTAATCTTCAGGGATTAATCTGTGTGACAGCAGTGCATATGACCAGATTTTTCAAGATAGCTGGTTCATTTCCGAGGCTAAGTGTTACCCAGGGCTGTAAGCTTTCATGCCAGACCAAAAGCCCCAGATGTTCAGTGGGTATTGCAGAATCTGTCTTGGTTTCTGTGATACCCTGTTCCAGGCTCTGTCGCAGTCAGAGTGGGTAAACTTTTGTATTCCATGCTCTGTGGCATTCAGAATGTCCCCACAACTATATGGTCAGTTCTTTGAAAACTGGAACCTTGTCTTAAACCTTCTGCATAGTGAAATGATGGGAGAGTCCTGGAGATAGGCTCCAGGGAGGCAGATGTTAACCCACTGTTTGTTTTTGAGGTTCAGAACTAGAAAGAAGGTCAGGAAGGGCCTGAAAGACACCCAGACACAAGGCAAAAACCACAGCCCTCAGATAGCTTCTAATACCCCATCCAATTCCAAATTCTCTGATTCTGGGAGTTCCTTTACCAGCCAGAACTCTCGGTAGCTCATCATGGCCACTGACACTTGTAACATTGAGATTGACTCTAGGGAGGAGCTTGTATCTGGCAATCAGAAGCAAGCCACATCTTACATACAAGTCCCCTTGCTTTTAGCCTTGGCTGCCCTCCATGTAAGGGAGAAAGACAGTGCCTCCTGCCGGCCAGGAGTCATGAATGAGGCTTAGAGGTATTTGTCAGCAAAGAAGGAATAGCCACAGCATGACCTTTTCCCTTCTACATGGTGCACACTTTAGAGGCCCTGTGTGTTTCTCCACCTAGGTCCCAGGCTAATTGCTCTGACTAACTGTACATAGTTAAGCTGATCAATTTCTTTATCCTTCACACGGTTCTATAACATTTTATCAGTTAAGTTGTTTTGAGACTAGAGATTTTATTCCTCTCCCTAGCATTTGTCAGTCAGGATTTGGTATTGTCACCTATCACCAGAAGAACTTGGAGTGTGAGTATGTATGTACATGCATGAGCCAGAGGTCAACCTTGAGTGTCATCCTCAGAAGCTGTCCACCTTAGTTTTTGAGACAGGGTCTCTCACTGAGATTTGGGACTCACCAGTTAGATTAGGTGGGCTGCTTAGTAAGTCCCAGAAATATTCCTTTCCCACCTTCCCAGTGCCAGCTAACAAAGTGCACCACTGTACTGGTTTTTTATTTTATGTGTACCAGTGTTTTGTTTGCATGCATGTATGTGTACCATGTACATACAGTGTCTACACAGGCCAGAAGGCATCAGATCCCCTGGAAATGAAGTTACAACCAGTTGTGAGATGGCATGTGGATGCTGGGAACCAAG